GTAATTGATGCACTTTAAATGTAAAAAAACATGACTATCCATTCAAAGGATTTTGAATATTAGTTCAAATGCCTGTGTGAAAACATTTATTGACAAGTAAGTGTGGTTTTGGGCAGAAAACGTAAATGAACAACTCCAAAAAAAACAAGTAGCCAAGTTTGTTGTACTTTGTGCTATTTATTCAGTCTGTCTCTAAAGCTTCAACAACCCTGTGAGGAGCAGTCAGCTCAAATCACTGTCTGAACACTGGCTCTTTCTTACTGGGGCGTCAGGAAGTCAGAACATGGTGAGAGACGCTCACACTGGGGCTACAGGCGAGAGTCCAGAGTGGAAGGAAGACTGAACTGAATACCACGGCTGCTGTCAGAAACAGCTGAGGGACTGACAGCAGGAAATGAGGAGGAGCAACCGAGCATGCTGTTGTAACAGAAAGAATAAGGTTCTGGATCCCGAGATGAAGTAAAACAGATGAGTTTATTGCATGCAAGGAACAATAAAGCCGAAGTCTTGTTTCCTGCAAGAAACAACAAAACCGAAGTATTGTTCGATGTGCCAGTACAAACTTTTAGGTTATATAGTCCTTCCTTGCTGCTTCCGACGTCATTCGGTGTTATGGTAAGGGGGGCGGGGTCATGGTATTTGGCCAGTTAAGAGACCCCGGCCAAATGGTCAGTTTAAGATTATGCCCCTAGGGGGTTCCCTGCTCGCATCTGGAATCCTTATCAGTTAACCCCCTTTCCTGCTATAAACCCCTGTTGCTTAGAAGTCTAATTTTCAGGTAGAACTGACTTAAGTTAACCCTTTTTTACATCTGGTCTCTTACTTCAATGCTAACTGAAGATCGTACAACTTCAACAACACTGTGTTGGTTAGCCAGCCTAAATCACTGCCTGTGAGGAGGCAGCTGTCGGTCCTTACGAGCCAAAATCCTGACAGCTGCCCCCCTCCCTGTGTGAACACTGGCTCCTCCTTAGTGGGTTTGAGAGGTAGTAAGAGTGAGAGCTAACAAGCAAACGAACTGTCACTGCACTGTTGCACTGAGACCTGCAGAGCACCCGAGCAAACCAACTGAAGATCGCAGCTGCTGAAACAAGCCGCCAAAGGGCTCTTCCTCCGAAACAACTCATTTCTCGGTGTTTGTGATGAGACTAAAGAGCGCTGGTGCAACTCCCCTCTCTTGCACTGTTGGTCTTTCACCAGCCTGGGAGGAAGATATCAGATATCCAGTTGAGCACATGAGATGAGCTCTTGTGGCCATGTGATAATGTCTCACAGGGGCCCACAGGTACATGGCGGATGACCTTCTGCAGAGCTAACTAGCCAGAGTGATGGCGCAGGTGCCCACCTACACATAGGAAGTCAAGACTTCAGAGGGATGATATGCTGCCTGAGAAAGGGAATGTGCAAATGAAGAAACAATCCTCTGTTTATTTGGTGGAATTCACTGTATTATTCTCAGAGCCTTTGAAAAGGCTCAATAAAGAGGATCAGGAACTTTATGAGACTCTATTCTAAGACGACCTCCACACTTTGCTTTTCTCCTCCTCTGCTACACTAGCTGACTTTGACCAAGCTTACAATACATTGGTTAGAAGAGCCGTTCCTCTCCTTATTAAGCCAAAGGAAGGATCACTTGAAGCAAGATTTCTTGCAGGAATGTAAAACAAAGTCACTCTCATGACAAGCGGCTGAATCGGGCTCAATAATAATAATAATAATAATAATAATAATAATAATAATAATAATTATAAT